CGTAATAAGTTAAAATAACTACTTAAAAAGTAACCACTACTAGTACCTACGTAGTACTACCTACCCAACGTAACCCCCCCCCAAACCCCCCACACACACACACACACACACAAACCCCTCCAACTTTGCTTTGTAATTTTGGCCTCAGCACCTATAAGTGATCAAATCTATCAAAATTAAACCAGCAATTTTTTATCTGAAGCATTTTTGAAACCATGGCAGCCGCCGGGCTGTTACTCTGCTATATCATCCTCTCTTCTGGATTCCATTTAATATACACTGTCACAGACCCCAGAGATGGTAACAACTTCAGCTTTTCTCATTCAAAATTTAACTGTGTATTTGAGTTAATGCGCCTAGGCATTTATTTAACTAAGCAAGTTTTGGTATGTTTAACAAAACCTAGAAAAAGGACTCTTTTTTTTGTAACAGTATTCTTGTTTTTTTCGTCATGGTGTTAAGGGACTGTTCTGTAAATCAGAATATTTCATACAGTTCTACCTGTCATTTCAATAGAAAATGGTAGCTCGGTGCACTACGCGTCCGGGAAGGGCCGGACCACAAAGCTCTATTGTATGCAGCCTTACCGTGCATTTCTGTTTCCACGACTTGAACTCGTCACCTACGGGTCAAATGGCAGCAACTTTACCAGTTACGCCGAGGCTACCCTTCCTACCTGTCATTTCAAGCTTCAGCTATATACTTTACGCGTCATCTCGAAAATGAAAATGATAAACAAACTATAAGTTGCATACAAGTTCATGAAGATATATAAACAATGTTGTAACAGCAAGTTTTCGTCGTACTACTTTAAAAAATATAATGCTAACATACAAAGTACAAGATTTAAATTTGATGGATTTAACTTATGAGATTCTTTACCTGAACACCTTTTTTCTTTTTCTTTTTTTGAAATTATGAGTTCAAAAATGTTAAAATTGTATTTTTTTTCTTTACTTATATATTCATGTTTCGTGTTGAAATACTAGTTCAGTTGAACTCATGAAAAAACGAGGCATCCGCCTCTGCAGTAACATGAATTATTCATTTGGTTGAGTGCAGTTGCAATACTTCGATCTCTGAAAGACCAGTGGGAAAATACACCACCTAGTTGGCAAAAGAGCGATGATCCCTGCGGAACATCCTGGGAAGGTGTAACCTGCAACAACTCAAGGGTAACTGCATTGTGAGTGTGCTCTTGTCTTTTATCCTCCAAGATTCAGTGGCCGTTTGGTTTACGTTCTAGTTATGTCGAAATTATAATATAGGAATTAAAAGTCTCAGAGACTAATGACAATGTGGTGATTGTTCTAAGGTGAATAATAATGCATGAATTGTTATGCAGGATTGCCTAATTTAAGGGCATTTCTTTCTTTAGATACTCTTATCCACATATTGCTAATTCATGCGCTCTATCCCTTATAAGTTATACAAAGTCTAGTTTCCAATATATAACTCTGCATAACTTGTGCAGAGTTTACTACCAAAAAGAAACTGTATTAGTTATACGGAAATTATATTAGTTATACAAGATTTTACATTGAAAACCAAATGTTATATAAGCAATACGAAATGTTATACGAAAAAGTAAAATTTCTTATACTTCACCAGCGAAGCACTTCTTAATCGTTGATGGTATTTCTTATTTCTTCAGGGGATTATCGACGATGGGACTGAGAGGAAAATTAAGTGGTGACATTGGAGGGCTCACTGAATTAATTTCCTTGTGAGTTGGTGTTTTTAAATCCAATAAACTTCTGTTGAATATTAGCAGAGGTCTATAGCTTGTATTTGTCGTCATAATATGTTGAATTCAGTTTCTAAACTTGCATTTCCAGAGACTTGTCATTCAATCGAGGACTTACAGGTTCCCTCTCTCCGCGGATAGGAGATCTGCAGAAACTTAACATATTGTAAGACTATTAAAAGTTGATGCTTTTTTCATTTTTATTTTCATATAGCCGATTTAACTTGCTTGGCGTTGAGACATAGTTGTTTTTTCATTAAACGTGATGGTCTTCCCCCGAAACATACATTACATACGTTTACCTAAGCGTCTCTATTTACGTTTCAGAATCCTCGCTGGTTGTAGCTTCAGCGGCAGTATACCAAGGGAATTGGGAAAGCTTTCTGAGTTATCTTTCTTGTAAGAATTTCTCAGCATATAACTTATGTTTGTTGTAGGTGTATCATCAGTTCATTTAGTTCCATGTCAATTTCTTTGACAGGGCACTTAACTCAAATAATTTCACTGGCGATATACCACGAACTCTTGGCAATCTGGCAAAACTCTACTGGCTTGATCTAGCAGATAATCAGTTAACAGGACCAATTCCTGTTTCAACCTCCTCAAGTCCGGGGTTGGACCTTTTAAAAAAGGCAAAGCACTTGTGAGTAAACTTTATTTATCCAAATTACGTGCCATTCTTGAGATAGGATATATATCTTTTATGGTCTAACTTCTATGTTATTGCAGCCATTTTAACAAAAACCAACTTTCAGGCTCCATTCCGGACATTCTTTTTAGCGGTGACATGGTGCTAATACATGCGTAAGCCAAGAAACTAACGAACTATTTGCGTTATTCTCCCTTGCCTTCTCATTCGTTGCATTTCTAAAATGGCAGATTATTTGATGGAAATCAATTTAGCGGGAGCATTCCATTAACATTAGGACTTGTTCAGACACTTGAGGTTCTGTGAGTAGAATCGACCATCTTTCATTAGCGTACCTTTCATATTACTTCACCTTTTATATTTTGGATTATATGCTAGTACTGTTTTATCTTTAGTTGGTATTCATGTGACTTCATATATACAGTCGGCTTGATAGAAATGCCTTAAATGGTAGTGTCCCATCAAACCTGAACAATCTCACAAGCGTCGTAGAGTTGTAAGTATACTTTTCCCCATAGTCGCTCATTCAATTGTCTGCTTGAAATGAATAATTGGTAGACTGAATTGGTTCTTTGTGCTCTTATTGTTCTGCTTGTAGGAATTTAGCACACAATGAACTGTCGGGCCGACTACCAGATTTAAGTGGAATGAACTCCCTTAATTATCTGTAAGGCTAGTTCATGAGAATATCCAGAATCCTGATTTATCAAGTTTTTTCT